TAAGTCTCATCAGAACCAAGATATAAATGGTTTAAATTAAAAAAAATTTATCCAGATAAATTTCTTTTTTAAAAAGAAAGAAACAATAATTGAACTTTCTACGGATCTATCTTTTTTATATTTTATATTAAAAAGAAACACTTGGATTGTCCTTTCTACGTACGGATCTGAAATTATCTAGCTATCACACACACACACACACACACACACACACACACACACACACACACACACACACACATATATATATATATATATATATATAAAGAAAAAAATCGGCACCTTTATGATTTTATGATTTTGAAGCTGTCGAACACTATTAAACTTTCGTTTTCATTGATTGGCTTCAACATCTTAGCCTAAAATGTTTGAGGATACCATCTTATGCAAGGCACTACTGATCCCTCCTGTTTGCTTCTGTTTGGTACACCCATCACACGTGATTTGTGTTCTCATCTACATAACATACAGTAAATAATAATCAGACAGATCTTGTTCGTTGAATATAAGGGAGAATAGAACAAAACTTGTTTGTATGAATTCTTGCTGCTTAAATACATTCGCTATATTATTACACACACACACACGCACGCGCGCACACACACACACATATATATATATAATTATTATCTATAAAAAATTATAACATAAATATGTTATAAAATCACTACAAAAATAGCCATTTTGTTTCAACATTTTCGGTGTCTTATCAAGTGATGATGTTGAAGATAAAATAAATGGTTTTAAAAGTTTCAAATTAATTAACGATCCTTCACTAGGGGGGAAACATTGTTACAAAAGCTAGAATAACCAATCAAAAACCAAGTATAGAAAGATTCAAAAGCTTGACAACGAAATCATGTTATAACAGCTATTCAGATCTTTAAAATACTGGTAATATTAAAAAGAATATATACTAACCAATAATTATAAAATTATATGATAAAATTTAATATTAAAATTAAAAACTGCCAATTTTAAAATCCAAATTTAATCACTATTATGCTTAAAAACTATAAAATTATTGAGAAAAGAAAAAAATACATATGTTATTTAATTTATTTCTTCGTTGAAACTACGTTCGACAAGACGCTACAATATATCCGGTCATTTGACAATACATGTATATCTATTTTTTATTCTAAAGTGTGTGAATGTGGTCTTAAACTCACGCGCAAAACAACAAAAACACAATCGGATTATAATACATAAGCACCCAGACATATTTAGATATATATATATACACACACAAAACTATTGGCTATTGAGTTAAGTGCGGCAGATAAGATCTTTAAACTTTGTAATATTTATTAGGAAAGACGTGGACAAATATTTTCTAAATATTTGGCTTCAACCTGAGGCGGGCAGTCGAGGAGATAACATTCATGTTGAGCTTTATCGCATAAAAAAAACTTAGATTTGTTTATTTAAATTTATTAACTACCAACAATATCAATGAGAAAATCTATCTGACAAGCTCAATAGGATTTCGTATAAAAACAAATACATTTTTAAAAAATGATTATTAAATTTAATATATTTCGAATTCGGAAATGTAATATTAATGCTATCACCAATCTGTCAAGTCTAACCCGAGAAAGATATTTGAAAAAAGTCGATTTTACATGAATATATATATATATATATATATACCCTGGGCACCTAATTTTGAGGTAATGTTCAACAACCGCGTGTGGTTGGCAATTTCTACTGAGTAATGAGGGTGATCCCCATATCTGTAGCCTTGTGCCAAACTAATTTCAGCTTAGTAATTAAGGGGACACTGCGGTATGGTGGTAATCACAAGTGAGCTCGTCTAATTTACCCTTCTTCCTCCTCGGTACCATTAGACGCTTTGTGAAGAATTCAGTCACAGTCCCACCACGCCAGAGTTACAGCCTCATCACACCAGAGCCACAGCCTCACCACGCTAGATATTTCTGCTGTGGTTTCCGTAGTGAGTAGGTTTTTATGGGGTGAATTATCTAGCCTACACAAACCGGTTTTGAAATCAATGTTACACTTTTCCTACACTAGTTGGCAACCAAAGCTGAAGAGTATAGTCTTCCATACTATTTAACCCATAAGTAGAAGGAGAAAAATGGTATTTGTTTGAAAGTTAACGCAATAAACTTAACCGGTATTTGAACTCGACACGCCGGTTACACATTTCGGGTCGATAAGCGCTACTCTACCCGTACGTCGTTGGTCATTAGTAGTCAGTTTTAGTTTGTTTGGTTTGGTTTACGGCATATCAACACCTCAATGGGTTATTTAATGCCGACAAAATTTTCATTGCTGGGAATATTTTGTTTTGTCAAAAATCTGTTTCTGGTAATATTTTTCCTTCAAAAATGTATTGCTGGTAATATTTTTCCTCAAAAATATATTGCTAGTAATATTTATTTTTTAAAAGCATTGTTGGTAATATTTTTTCAAAAATGTATTGCTGGTAATAGTTTGCTTTACTTCAAAAATTTATTGCTGGTAATAATTTTTTACAAAGTATTTCCGGTATTAAAACCTATTTTTACACTTTCATAGTGTTTTGACCCCAGTTTATGGGTTAACTATTTGCTCATAGCTGGGGCCCTAACAGGTGCTACCACCCCGAGTCAAAGTGAACCTGGGAACATCAGCAATTAAGACGTGGTTCGACGCTCCTCAAAACCTCCTTATCAGAGGCCTTGCTGATGGACGTAGTTTATCGTCTTACCCAGGATGCGGATGTAGTTTATCGGTATAGCCAGGACGATAGTGAGTTTTATTTACATTGGGGGCTCCATAGTTGTGGTATTTTACCAAACTGAGTTAAACTTATTAAATAGTAACAATGTACTCGCCTAGCAGCAAGTGATCAAAATCCTTCAAAATGGAACACAATTCAAGTCAGAGAAAGAGCACTTAGAGTTTTAATTATGCATGTTTATCGAAGTTATCTCGAAGGCAGGAGTCCAAAGATGTAAAAAGGGCACCATTCTACGTTTTTTTTTTTTTTTTTTTTTTATCTTGAACACTGGAACCGGAAGGAAAGTTTCCATAGAATTTCAAGAGCTACAATTCGTGCTTCCTAAATAAAATCCATATCCTGAAAACAATTATTCCAGATAAATATAACAATGATTCCTTTTATTTGGGCAGATAATTTTGACCAGAAATAGAACAACAATTTTTATAAATATATTTGGTTATTTAATCTAATTGGAAATAAATCTGGAGGCACAACTTGTAGATATTCAGTCTTTATCCAGAATCCTTAATAAAACTTCTTTTTTTTCTCAGGGAACATTTTAATGTATTATCTTTTCTATACTGGAGAAAGTCAATTATCATTTTTTGTAACTGTTCACATGGGCGCTTATTGAAAAAAATGATAATGGTTTACGCTTTCAAGAATCAGCGAAATAAATAACTGTGGACTGGATCGGTTTTATTCAATAGCGAAAAATAAAACCGACATGAAGAGAAAAACAATCATTTGTATTTTAAAATTGCCCGAGGCAGCTTTTTTTGTTCAATTTAAAAGGCCATTTTAAGTGATTCCTCGTCAATGTGTCTTGAAGCATCTTAGTTACAGGACCAAAACCATTCGAACGATAACTCATTAATTAAACGAACCCATCTAAAAAAAAAAGAAAAGAAAAGAAAAGGTTTTCTCAAGGTGACGTACTTGCAACTTCCTTAAACAGCAAGAATCTGCTATTCAGGCGAATTAACTGACAGATTTTGCCTTGTTCCCCCATTGCATCATGAATCATTTTTTTCTTTCATAGTTTTTTCGTAGTTTTTAATCCGTCATATAAACCTTGAGAATATTATTTGAAAAGAATTGTCATTTTTAATTGATCTACATAAAATATATTGTTTATTCTAGAACAGAGTTAGATGGCTGTTATCTTGTATTAAGCTGTGTAAATATATACGTATATGTGTTTGTGTTTCTTTAGATATGCACGCACACACACAAGTGAACACATATATTTAATATATATTATCAGTAGAACGGCATATGAGTGTATTAAATATATATATATATATATATATATATATATATATATATATATATATATATATATATATATTATACACTCATATGCCGTTCTATGTATGGCGATAAACGACATCCGTCAGCAAGGCCACCGATCAGGAGGTTTTCAGGAGCATGGAACCACATCCCCATTCTTTAAAGATCTGTGTTTGGTTTGGTTTGTTTTGTTTTACGGTCTATCAACCCCAGTGGGTTATTTAAGGTCGACAAGAATTTTATTGCTGGTTTATATATTTTTTTCAAAATATGTATTGCTCGTAATTCAATTTTTTTTTGTATTTATTGCTGATAATATTTTTTTTCTCAAAAATGTATTGTTGGCAACATTATTATTTTTTTAAAATTGTATTGCTGATAATAATGTATTGCTGGTAAGAATTTTTCTTTCAAAGATTTATTGCTGGCAATAATTTTTTTACAAAAACGTATTGCCGGTATTAGAACCTTTCGTAGCGTTTTCAACCCAGTTTGGGGTTAACTATTTACCCATAGCTGGGACCCTAACAGGTGCTACCACCCCGGGTCAGGGTGAACCTGGAAAGACCAGCAATTAAGAGGTGGTTCCACGCTCCACAAAACCTCCTGACCAGAGGCCTTGCTGTCAGATGTAGTTTCTCGTCGTGCGTGGGGTACGTGTCTTATTACTCTGCAGAGGTGCAGTCGGCGTATCGTGACGTCCCAGCCGACAGCTCATATACTGTCATGTGCATTCGTGTATCTTATTAAAGAAATCTATTAGAGGGCACATTTTTTATTAAGATTTTTCTATGTCGAAACCGGTGTATATTATCGATATTCTAAAACAAAAGAAAAAACAAAGGCATGGGTTTTCTCATACACGCACATTCACTAAAATATAACGTTAAACTAATAAGAAATAAAGGAGAGTGTAAATTTAATATTCATCTGATGAGACCTTGTGTCAGTCTAATCGGTGATTAGTCTAATAGTTATGTATACGCAAAATACAGTGAGAAAAAAGCCATAAAAAATGAAGTAAAGTTTGTGGCAGAGCTACCCTTTTCTACTTCACTTCCAATTTTCGGAGTGTCATAGTGCAAGAGTTTTGTTATTATATATGCTACTGAAGTAGTTGGCAATGTTTAATAAATAAAATAAACTAAAAATATTTCTTAAATCCTCTGAAAAGTATCGTTCACTTATCATCAGCTTAAGACCTCGTTTACTTCAACGTCAGCCTTTTTAAAAACAGATCAGTCAGCTGACTTCATTACTGAATCCAGATACTTGGATAAGTGAAACAAAAGATCACAGACCCAAACGAAGGACAATCCCACACGCACTCACTACAGTCTAGGATTAATAACCAACCTCAGTATTAACCCAGCTGAAAAAGGCTTCGGCGACAGTTCTCTCGGCCCTTTCGTCATTCATTTCTTTTTAAATGTAAAAACCACTATTTGCGCCAAATTCCACATTATAAATTTTTAGCTATTGTATTATATTTCTGCTTATTCCTTTGTTTCTAGACACGAATGTTTAACCCTGTTCCTAATAGCTCATAAAAATGGACTATTCTTTTTTGATCTCGAGGAAAAATGGGAAAGATATTTTAGAGACGGTGTTTGGTTTCAGTGAGAAAAAGAAATATCGAGTGTGTGTGTGTGTGTTTGTGTGTGTATGTGTGTGTGTGTGTGTGTGTGTGAGAGAGAGAGAAAGAGAGAGAGAGAGAGGGAGAGAATATAGTGGAGGCGATAATGCTCTCATGTGTTTAAGACCTGCTTCAGTGAAATGGAAAACCTAGCTAATTTAAAACACTTTCACTAGTGACCAATTACTTCTTCAAATAATGATCTACATTCATTCTTATGATTGTTATTGCAATAATTTTTGTTTATAAGTTCTAGCGATACAAATGGTGAATTTCCACGGGTATTTCGTAGTTCTGGAACTCGTAAGAAGCATATCAAATCATTAACTTAAGAATTAGAATTCATAAAAAAATAAAATAGGAAAAACCTTGATAATCCTTTGCTGTTTTTAATACTTTTTCGTATGATACTTGCTTCGGATTTCCTAAATTTCTGAATCCCTGAAAGTTGTCCTTATTTCATACGCATGCGTCTTTACTTGGCATATCCACAAAATGCAATATAAAGCCAAAGCTATTTGATGAAAGTACAGTTTTGCCAAAGAATCTCCAGACTGATCGTTCTTTGCAGAAAAGGTATTAGAGGATGACACTGGTTCTATTTCGATTCTTGTAACCGGATGGGGTGCAGTGACAGTCTACTTGTCAAACTAAAAAAAAAAAAAATTCCTGGACTAAGTGCATCAGCACATATCCACCCGGCATCGATTACTGTATTTGTTTATCGCTTACGGAAGGGGCTAATGGCTATTTTTGTTTTACTTGGAATAGCGCGTATATGACGTTGAGCACTTAACCTGGCTTTGCTTATGTAAGCTTATATAAGCAGACTTTTCTTTAGTCTAATATCTTTCCTTACAGTATTCTCAGCTCAATTTTTTTTTCTTACTGATTTCTCTTTTTTCATTTCCAAGACCTCTAGTATTTTTTCCACTCTCCGATCTTGTTTGTTTGTGTGGTTCTTTCTTTCTTTCTTTCTTTTTTCTTTCTTTCTCTTTTTCTTTCTTTCTCTTTTTCTTTCTTTCTTTCTTTCTTTCTTTCTTTCTTTCTTTCTTTCTTTGTCATCATTAGTTATTGCTTCTTTGTTTCATTTTCTTTCTTTTTTTCTTCTCTTTAGTAATTGGTTCTTTATTTTATTCTTTCTTTGTACTTTTATCTTTGTGTCTTTCTCTTTCTTTCTTTCTTTCTTTCTTTGTCTTCTTTCTTTCTACTACTTGAGCTTCCTTTGTTTCTTCTTGTTTGTTTGTTTCTTTCTTTTCTTTCTTACTCCTCTTTAGTAATTGGTTCTTTCTTTCTTTCTTTCTTTCTTTCTTTCTTTCTTTCTTTCTTTCGTTCGCCATTGCTTCTTTCTTTCTTCTTCCTTTTTTTCTCCTCCTTAGTAATTGATACTTTCTTTTATTCTTTCTTTATACTGTTTTGTTTTTGTTTCTTTCACTTTGTTTCTTCCTTTGTCTTCTGTTTTTCTTTCTTTCTCCTCTTTGGCAATTGTTTCTTTCTTTCTCCTCTTCAATTTTTCTTTGTATCTTTTGTTTATCTGTTTCTTTCTTTCTTTCCTTCTTTCTTTCTTTCTTTTCTTCGATCTCGGTTTGTACCTTTCTTTGTTTCTTTTTTGCTCCTCTTTGTTAATTTTTTTTTTCCTTTTTCTTTCTTCTTTTTGCTCTTTGTTTCTCTGTTTGTTTCTTTTTGCTTGATTCTTTGTTTCTTTCTTTCATTTTCCTTTTTTTTCTTTTCAACTTTTTTCTTTCGCTCTTCTTTTTTGTTGCTGCGTTAGTTTGTTTCTTTTTTGCTTCTTTCTGTTTCTTTCTTTCTTTGTTACTTTTTCTCAACTCCGATTTCTGTTTCTCTGTTTCATTTCTACCTTTTTCAATCTCTAGTTCATTGTTTCGAGAAGGGCATTTTTTGGAAAAAAAAATATCGGTGATAACAAAATTTATCTCGATTTTTCTTTATTCTTTCTTTCGTTATCACTTTTGTTTTGTTATCCCTCATTTTTTTTATTTTCTCTTTTTTTTAAAAAATCTTTTCACCTCCTCCTCTTTCTCTTTAAATCTACTTTTTCTTCCTCGATATGTTTTTTTTTTCTTTCTTTCATTCTCCTTCTCTCGCCTTTCTTCACCCCTTCTCTCTCTCTCTCTCTTTGTTCTTTGCTCTCTTTTGTTCTTCTTTCCCGCTTGGATGTCCGAAGCCGAAGATAAAGCGAAATGACAATTTCACTTCTCCAAGCCGCACAGGCCTGCAAAATGACATCTCAGCGCGTCTCTTCTTCATTTACTTATATATAAACTCTTTCCTCCCTTTTTCTCTTCTGACCAATTTATCCTCATCTTGTTTCTATTGTTTCTACTCTTGCCTCTCGGGGACGGTCTGGGCGTGGCGAACAAGTGGTCTGCGCGGTTTGTCCACTAATGAATCCAGGCTGCGATCAGAGATATAAATTCTATGTCTTTGACCACAATCAAATTTTCTTTGCATGTGTGACTATTCATTACGATCCCCGAACGATGCAAAGGTGCCTAAGGTTTTTAAAACAAGATCTTCTTTTGCTGCTGAAGGAGGTGAAAACGGAAAGAACAAGGAAGAGAATGGAGTAAAAAGAGACGCGAGATAATTTTACGAGTTATTTCCAGTTGATTACATATTCGACTGGGGGCGATATTTAGTAGAGATCTACCGGTGGGGTGGATGGCGGAAGATAGTTACGCCGAGGAAATTGTGTGAAAACATGAACTAACACGTTTGTCATAGCTGCGTTCTGCAATCAGGCGGTGAAGTGGTCAGCGTCATAATGAGATACTCATTCGACCCGGGTTTGCGGCGGGTGACCCTTTTATCCGGCTCACTGAACTGTTTGGGCAGGGTGACAAGAGAAACAATTAGGTCACACAGGGAAGTCTGGAAAACAATCAATCAAGCTCCTAGAGGTACTAACACAGGACTGGAAACACCATTTAACAATCGCAAGTAGATAAAAACAAATAAATTCTCTTATAGCTATCTGCCTGACTCAATTCATAAACGTAGTCTGTGTTTATAAATATTTTTCAATGAGACTGTGTTTACAGGGTGTACATATAATGCACTTTAATGTGGTATTTTCAACCCCCACGCACATGGTGAGGGGATGTGAATAGGTTTTAACGTGGCCTCAAATTACTTAAATGTCTTAAAAAACAAAATAAAAAACTTCGCTCTTTACTGCAGTCAGGGAGATTTTGCCACCGGGACCAGTTTTTCCACACTGTTTTTATTTTTTTATTTTTTTATTTTTTCAGTGATCATAAATAAGATATATTAAGGACACTATTGCCATAAGAAAAACAAAAGTAATTTTTTGCAAGATTTTTTAAAACCGAGAAATAACTTGTGTTTATAAATGTCTAAAAAAATGGACAACAATGACGATGTTATTGAAAAAAAAAATGTAAGTCCATTGCAACCAATATCATTTTTTTCAGTGATTCTAAATAAGATATATTAAGGACACTATCGTCATCAGAAAAAACATTTTTTTCGGTGAATAATGAATTTTTTACAAGAATTGTTTCCATTTTTTAAAAACTTTTAATTATAATAATTTATATAGTTTTAAATCTTTTAGATGAAAATTTCAACCTTTAAGTGTAAACTAGATTTACTCATCATAAACGGAAAAGCAATACAAATCATCAAATACCAATATTTTTTTACATAATTTTGAATTATTTTCATTAGTGTATAAACATGCCGATTTTTGTAAGTACAGTCGACCATACGCGATATTATCAGAAAATAAGAGCTATAACTATATTAAATTTAAAGTTGAAATTTCTAAAATTCAATAAAACATTAGAACATGAAGAACATTTTGCCAAGATTTTAAGATATCTGAGTACTTCGAATGATATAAAAAAGGCGCTCACGTCATTTTCTTGAATTATCTTTTACAGATAAAGTCTCCGTAGAACAACATTCGACCTGTCATCAGGCTGCCAATACGTAAAATTAGCTTGCAAATACAGCTACTACAGTGTTAAAAAAATGCATCTCTGCAATATTTTAAACTTAAGTAAATAATATTTGTTTTAAATCAGATTAATTATACTTTAAATCAACTAATATTCCTAAAATAAAGTTCCAGAAAAGTTTTTTGCAAGTTTTTTAAAACTTAGAAATAACTTGTGTTTATAAATGTTTAAAAAATGGACGGCAATGACGATGTTATTGAAAAAAAAAAAGAAAAGATAATCCATTCCACCCAATATCACTTGTTTGAAATACACCAGAGTATTTTGCTTACTGGAAATAGTAAATGCAATCATTTAGCTTTCAATCTCTATATATAAAATAGAGAATGCCTGTGTGTGTGCGTGTGTGTGTGTGTGTCTGACTGTGTGATACCTTTTCAATTAAGATCCATCTAACCGATTTTGACCAAACTTGGCACATACATTGTACCATGTAAGAGATGGGTTCTTAGGGTAATAAAATCGATAATTTAAAAAAATCAATAATCGATAAAGACGATCAAAATCGATAAGTTCAACTTTTTCCTCCGATTTCGTTCAAACTCGGTATGTAGGTTATTTACATCATGATGAGCTCAACGATACCTCATTTTTATTTCTACGACACTGCATTTAGCGAAATACCGCGAAAAACACAAACTGATTTAAAAAAAATTTTACACTGAAAATTCCCTCAATTTTCAAGCAGCCTAATACAAACTTCACTCAGTTGTAGCCAACAATAAGTTGATTGTTTAACAGTCATTTAACTTAATAACTCGTGTAAATAGCGAAAAATAAAGACTGTTACTGATTTTCAACCAATTTTCATCAAACTTAACTTATAAATATATCTTCTTTTACATCCCTGATAGCACACTGAAAAATTGAATTTCAAAAACTCTAAAATAATTATGGCCTGAATTGGGTCATCATGTTGCCTGTTTTAACCTTTCATGTTCTCGGTTAACTTCGATTGAATATTTACAGACTACTTCTGTTATATGAGTAACTGCATTAATTCAAAATGTTTTATAATGAAAGTACTTTAAAGTAATTGAAGAATCATGAAGAATCTAAACATGATGCTATTTTTGCTCCATTCTAATTGAACGCTTTTTTTGATCGACCAGATGAGTATGGCTGCTCGTTAAAACTAAAATGAAAGCTTCTAGAAAACTTTTTCTTTTCCAAAAATAAATTTAAAAACGCAATTTTGGTGGAAGTACCGACTACATATTGATTTATGGAGAGGCATTACAATAATAAACATGATCTGGCCGCTCAAATCTGATTTTTCTGCATAGTTGCTTTTGTTAACACAACGTTTCGACCGAAGAATGAGTCATTCTGCGGCCTTCGTCAGATGAAGTCCTTGAGAAAAATAAGAGAAAACCCTTTTACATTAAAAAATTAAAAAAGAGATCATTATATAATCTAAATAGCATTTTTCTTGCAGATTGTACTTGATGTAGACTGAAGAATTGGTCGACCGAAACGTTGTGCTAACGAGGGAGGCAAATATATAATGAAATATTTTTAGTGTCCGAACAATGTTGGAGATTATTGTGCGCTTTTCTAACTCCTAAAATTATCAAATGAAAGAGATTTAGGAAAATTTGCAACGACCAATGAAATTATTTCTTTTCAAGGAATCAAGAATCGCGTGATTTCGGGGTCTTTTGGCAACGCGTAAAGTATACGTTATCTACGAATGGAATAGAATTCTGACTTCTTCAAAGATGAACATTCACAGAAATATCCTTTGAAATCCAATTACGTATATCAACAGGAAACAACCAAATGGCTCCTCGAAGTTTTTTTTTATATTTTATTTTCTATCACGGCAAATCTGGATAAATCAGATCCGAATGTATTTTGGCGATTTTCATGGGTTTTTCTATTTTTTTTTTTTTTACTTCTTTGCTTCTGATTAGCTGTTTTCCTTATCTTTCTAATTTGTATGGATTCTATGCTTGGCTACTTACGAGAATTCGTGTAATCAAGTGATATGCAGGGTTCAGGAAAGAGAAAGTACAGTTAGGTAAAGGCGAAAAAGATGAAAAGGACGAACGATTGAAAACCTAGATAGATAGAGAGAAAGAGATAGATAGAGAGATAGAGATAGAGATAGATAGAGAGAGAGAGAGAGAGAGAGAGAGAGAGAGAGAGAGAGAGAGAGAGAGGTGGACATGGACCGAAAGAGATGGGTGAGAATTGTGGGGAGGGTGAAAGAAAAGTACAACTAAGTGAAAAGAAAAGGAGAGTGATAGAAGATACACCATAAACAAAGAGAAGAATAGGGGGAAAAAATAAGAGATAGTAAATATATAAGAAAGAAATAGAGAGAGAGAAAAAAAAGAGTGACAGAGAATAAAAAAGAGGAATCTCGGAAAGTAAAGAGAGAGAAAAAGGAGAGAAATATTAAGAGAGAAGGAGAGAAAAGATACAGGTGGAGAGAAGGTAAGGGGTAGCTAAAGAGTGGTGGACAAAAGAAAAGAAAACAAGAAAAGAAAAGAAAGAGAGAAAAGGGAGACTGATTTCAAGAGAGAGAGATAGAGAGTTGGGAAGAAGAGAGATGCAAAGTGCGCAAGAGCGAACTAGAGTTTTTATTCTTATTCAAAATGTAATAACTGAAATAGCTAGATTTAGAAAAGATTTTAGAGACATGAAAACATCCACACCCAGTTTCGATCCCGGCATGAACCAATCGCGTATCTAGCCACACTGAAGAGCTGTGATACAGCGAAACTCTCTGTAAATGACTATATAAACACACACACACACACACACACACACACACACAGACACACACACAAACACACACACACACACACATATATATATATATATATATATATATATATATATATATATATATATATATATACATATATATATATAATAAAAAGGCTTAAACACTAATATTCCATGGTCATAATTTATTCTATTGGAATCGTAAATACGATCCAATTCGTCAGACCTACAAATTAAAAAAAGAAAACAGAAAAAAACAACTCCGGATATAAAAGAGTGTGGGACGATTGTTAGAGCTAAAGAGAGGGGTAACAGACGAGAGAAGGTGGGAGATTAAGACTTAACAGAGAGGAGTTTTAGAGAGGTGAGTTGAAGACGGTTTAAGTGAGAGAAATATGAATATTAGTGTTCAAGCCTTTTTATTATATATATATATATATATATATATATATATTTTTTTTTTTT